ACATGAGCGCGCCATGTCCCCAGTTTGTCGGCTCCTGAATAAACCTCTTTGCCCGACACCCACCCTCCTCTCCAGGGGGCTCTTCCGTGTGGCCAGCAGCCGACCCTGCTTTGGGCAGCAACTGACCGGGGTCAGCTGACCTTTGCCCTCCTCCTGACAATTCCATCCAGTCACCAAAACCAACCAACACAGACTCCCAAGGTTTCCCCTGGTCCTTTCCTGGTCCATTTCTTGGCACTGACTTGGTCAGGCAGCCCTGTTCCCGCCTCGGTGACCCCCACGGGGCCCTGACTGGCTCCGCCTCCTTCCCTGCCACTCCGCATCCAGCCCAGGACCCATGGAGGCCTCCCCTGGGCACCCCTCCCATGACCTTCCTCTGGACTCAGGGTGCACGACACGCCCTGCAGGCAGCTGCAGGCCCTTCCTGACCAGCCTCCCTCCCTCCCCCTCCTCCCTGGACTCTGCCCTCCAGGCCCAGTGTTCTATGTCCCCCTCCTCCCCCAGCCTCTGCAGCCCTCACTTCCCGGTCTCTCTGCCCCACCCCTCCCCACACCCACTCCTCTCCCCCTAGACTCCCTACGGCTCAGCGGCTGCCCTGATGGCCCCAGCCTGGCTCCGCTGCCCCTCCCTGGCATCTCCATGTCTCTCCCAGAACCCCCCTCCCTCCACATGAACCCAGCACAGACCTCTGGACAGAGAAAGGACATAGCCACTCTGCCATGACCTCATAATCTCCCACGAAACAGACTTTTGCAGTAACAGAATTTTTATACAACTTTTGAAATGGAAGCTGGCACTCACGCTTCCCTAGACCAGGAAACCATACTGAGCCCTTTCCCTGGGGGTCGACCGACCCCCCGTGGATTTTCCCTCATAAATCAGGAGGCACTTACTACCCCTGCACATCCTTAAGCCACGGGCATCCTCATCCTGCGTCCTGCTCCCCTGCCTGCAGGGCGTTCTCTGAAAGTCTGGGACCTTCACTTTCGATTTCATGTTCCACCACTCTCAGCCAATCATTTTCTAACTGAACGTTCAACAAGAACAAAAAACACGTGACAAGTGCATCACGCAGTGTAATCAGTTGGCCCCTCACACCCAGAGACAGGAAGGGAAATCGTGCCCCCTGCGTTGCCAGTGACATACCGGACAGTCCTCCCCGACCCGGGGAAGGGCTGCTTTGAAGCCAGCTCAGTGTGCCCTGATCGTCACCCTGATTACTAGTCAGCTGTTGCTCTGGAAATTAGCAAACCCAGTATCTCGACGACTCAGGACAGATATTTCTTTCTCACTCACGTAGCATGAGGGCTGGGGGTCAGTGGAGAGGCTTCTGGGCTCAGTGGCCTTTGGCTTCAGGCAGAGGGGGAAAGTCAGGTCCCCACCTCCTGGGTTACACACTGGGCCCAGGTGAAAGGAGTAGCCCGGAGCAGGGACGTCTCCTCCTGCAAAGTGCACGGGAGCCCAAGGAGCTGACACCAACCACGCAAGCCCCTCTGCGAACTCCTGCTCAGGTGTGCTCAGAGACAGTGTGCTCACTCCCTTCCACTGGCCAAAGAGATCACACGACCAAGCCACAGGCAATGAGGAACGCTGGTAGGTCCCCAGATAATGGCAGGGACACATCATCTATCACCTTGAAGAGAACAGCAGCAGGGGGTGGGGGAGGGGGAACCAGTCTAAAGGCAGAAACACTTCCCACAGCCATTCAGAACTGAGACCCCAGAAAATACTGGGCGGGAAGGGATGAGGGATGGCCGGCTGGGTGGGACCCTGCACGCATGTGTATCCACAGGAATAGGCACAGCAGGTGCGTGTCTAGGTGAGGCTCTTGTGGTGTCGAAGGATGCGCTGCCTTCACTGGGACACCTCGGCTGCAGGTCACAGCACTGGATTAGCTGGGGTTCTCCAGAGAAGCAGAACTGTTAGGAGACCTGGACATACATATGGGGATTTATTTTGCAGATTGGCTCATGGGACTGGCGGGCCATCCAGGAGTGGATTGCAAACTGAGACTGAACCCACCGGAACCAGGAGTCCCCTGGTGTAACTCCCCGTCCACGGGCAGAAGAGGAGACGAGAGGTCCCAGCTCTAGCAGTGAGGCAGGAAGAAGGGGTGAAGTCCTCCTTCCTCCACCTTCTGTCTTCTTCAGGCCCTGCACGGGTGGGATGATGGCGCGGCACACTGCCGAGGGCGTGGAGAGTGCCGCGTCCCCTGACTCAGATGCTCATCTCTCCCACAAACCCCCTCGCAGACACTCCCAGAGTGATGTTGGATCTGAGCCCTCCTTGGCCCAGTCAGGTGACACACAAAATCCACCATGACGGCTACTAAATAAAATGGGTGCGATAGCAAGGAAATACTCCCTTCAGATAACAAGATGTCAAGACTTAGTGTGGCCGGGTCCCTTGCGATTTTAGTGCCCGGGCGTTACTCTAATGACCCAGATGATGTAAAATGTGCCGAGGCCCCTGCTCACTCACACAGGTGAGCTGCTCCCTCCTGCTCAGCACCCCTTGTTCTCGCAGTACCTGTTAATGCTGTCGTGCTTTGCTTTTCTGTCAAACAGGAAGAGGTAACTGCAGGGTCGTGAGGAAAATCTATGAGATTCTCTTGCAAAAGGAATAAATGCCTTGAAAAAATTGCAAGTAGCTCCTGATGCCCAGAGTGTGGTGACTCAGGTGCCATCAGACACCAAAACCACACAGACCCCTCCCCCTTACTCCCCTCGCCATGGAAGCTCCTGGCCTCAGTTCTTTAGGAACATGGGTTGGAGAGATTTTGTTCTCTCATCTTCTCACGTTGGTGAAATCAAATAAACCTTTCTCTGTCTCTGAGCACTACTGTCACAGTGTGTGGCTTTAGCTGCACATCGGGTATGTAAGCCTGTTTTTGGTGTCACCAATGGTGGCAGGGAGGAGAGGAGCTCTGACCATAAGGGGGTAGCATGAGAGAGAGAGCTTCGTTGTCAGGGACGATCTGTCTCTTCATAGTGCTGGCGGCTACATGAATCTACACGTGGGATAAAAAGGAAATATACACACGCGTTTTACCAATGTCACGATACGGATCTTGATATTTTACTGTCATTTGCTTAGCTGTAACCATGGGGGGGAACTGAGAGAAGGTACAGGAAGCTTCTCTGTACTACCTTTGCACCCCCCTGTGAACGTGTGAACTGAGTGCACAAGCACGCGTGGGCGCTGGACAGCAACAACGATGCTCGATAGAACAGTTGCCGTGGAGGCGAGCCTCACGTGCATTCTCACTGCTGCCTGCGAGTGCTCTTCAAACCACGGTGCAGGAAAATAGAGACGAACACAGACTGGCAGTTGCATTAATTGGAGGAAGCAGATCACAGTTCAGCATGGTCTAAGACGTCTGGGAAAGGGTACCAGAGAGGAAGGGCCTTAGAGAAAAGACCCTTAAATTTGTGTAAAAATGTCCCTCGGGTTCTTGAGCAATAGCAAAGACGCACAAGTATAGGAGAAGGCATTCCAGGAGGACCAGGAGGACATCTGCTAAGGGGCTAAAAGCTTAACACACTAGGGCTTCTGTTGAAACAAACAAACCAGAAAGATATGCCCTGCAGTAATCGCTACGCTTTAGAAGCAGTGTGCAAACCGAAATAGTCCTGAGGTCTGTTCTCAGCCCTGGGCTCTGGCCCTTCACTGCCTGGGAGAAGGGAGGAGGCTGAGGAGTGAGCGCTGCCTTCGTTGTTTCCTCACCTGCTTTTCTTCTGGTGCGTGCATCATCCTTTCCTGTTCCCCTGCGAGTCTCATAATTTTTAGTTGAAAACTGGATGTAGCAACTCTGGGTACTGGTCCCCCCCGTGCAATCCTCAGAATCTACTTACTTCACCTAAACTTCCCTCGTTCGTTTCAAGTAAACACTGAGAGCATCTCTGTTCCCACCGTGAACTGCTCCGCTTCATGTCAGCGCCTCCCTTGACATGGAGAGTTGACGTTGCCGAATGTCTGCTGGGTGACAAGCCAACACAAGAAATCCTGGCACTGCCACTTTCCGATGGCACGATAACTCGGCACATTAAAGATCGAGTTGCAAACATGAAAATTCAGTTAATGTAGTCTCTGCACACACATTTGGACAAATCTGCAGCGTTGCTGACTTCTGGTGTCGCTCTAGTATTAGTGCCTAGTGACCACTGGATAAGGTCTTCTTCATATGGGAATGGCCAGCAAGAAACAAAAGTGCTAAAATACTCAAAACGTCAAATGACTTTTTTGAATCTCATGATTTCTTCTTGAGCAACTGTGTTGAGATCTTCCCTGGTGGTACAGAAGCAATGATGCCTAAGGCCGCTGGTGCTTAGCTCGAACCCAGGCAGTGGTGACAAACTGTAACAGCAGTAGTCATCGTGTTCCTTGCTGTCATCACGCCTTTGTAGTATTTTTAAAAAGCCATCTTTACCTAGAAGTATCCTTGATGAAACAGTAAAAAGTCTTAATTGTATTAAATAGGACCCATGAGGACATGCCTTTTTCATATTCCCTGCGACTCTATGGAAGTGTATACGGGACACTTTTGCTGTGTGACAAAGTGCAGTGATTTTCTCACGCTACGGCACGGTGCAGTCGTCTGAGCTGAGAGCTGAACTAGCCTCTTTATTCTGTGCCTCCCCATTTTCACGTGAAAGAATGACCGACAGACCAGTGAACACAGTGAGTTTGTTATTTCAAAGAAAACAACTGGCGGTTTTGTTGCCAATAATACCATTTGGGCTTTCAGGTAAGAATTAGAATTCTGAAAAACATGTATCTGCTACCTTGAGCATAATAGCCTCCCAATATTCAGAGAGTTTTCTGATGAGATCGATGGTATCATTAACAAATGTGATAAACAGTTGCCCAGGCAGATTTATCTACAGACAGATACAGTCCATACAGTCAGCCCCCGACATCTTTGGGGGATTTTTCCAGGACCCCTGCAGATACCAAAATCCTTGGATGCCCAAGTCCCTGCTATAAAATGGTGTAGTGTTTGCATATAAGCTATACACGCGTCTTCCCATGTAAGTTAAATCATCTCTAGACAACTTACAATACCTAATACAATAGTAAATGCTATGTAAATAGTTGTTATATTTTTACGTGTATTATTTTTACCATTGTATTTTTTTTTGTACTGGGTTTTCCCCTGAGTATTTTGGATCCATGCTTAGTTGAATCCTCGAATGTGGAACCTATGGATATGAACAGCTGACTGTAATGAAACGTGTCAACGTTTGAAAGAGCTGCATAACTCAGTGACTCAGTATTTTCCAGACAACTAATGCGGGACATGATCGCATGTGGCTAAAAGCTCCAATCCATGTGTAATTTAAATCAATGGGTTTTAACATAAGAGATTACAAGAAGTTCACTGACCCAGTTTCAGACGCCACATTGCAACTAACCTTTTTTTTTTTTTTTTTTT